AGTCGGATGCAGAGTAAAGTGAACCAGTGAACAGTGAATAGTGAACAGTGAGCAGTGGCGCCACCTAGCGGTTTGTGTTTTTTACGGAGTTGAGCAGCAGACGGAACTGAGAAGAGCAAGTTTGTATGGGCGTAAAACTGTAAGTACATTTATATCAGTATTAGAAATAGAAGTTTGAAATTGAACCTTAGAGCAAAGAGATATATAACTTAGAAAAATTTGAAGATTTATTAGTAGTGCATGGACTTGTAAAATTTTATCTTGAATTGTGTCTGAGACGGGAAATCCATGCCCGATTTGACTTACGGTTTACAAACAAAACACTTAGAAAAAAAATTACGCCCATACTGGACATAGAAAAAATAACTTGCTCTATTCCTTACAACGATACTTGTAAAAAATCTTTCGAATTTCAAAGAAATAAAAGTAACAATGGAAAGCAAAATAAGAGCTCAGTCAGATATGTACAACCGAATGGAAAAAGCCAGTATCAATTTTAAGAAATCCAAAAGATAGGCTAACTTCAAACTACATAGAAACTAGAATTGACATTTTGAATGGACAGTGGGAAACATTTAACAAATTACATGAACAACTTGCTAATGAAGTTAGTGATGCTGATTATGAAGAATTAGATTACTTTGTCGAGGACTTTTACACCAAAACAGAAGAATTATACGCAGATTACAAAACAGAATTAAAAGCAAGCTTGGAAAAATGTACTTACATACCGACCAAAATTCAGGACGCGTTGCGCAGTAATGAAGAGCAAATTAGTGTGCAGATTCCAAAGATTTCCATTCCTAGTTTCTCCAGAAATTACTCAGAGTGGACCGCGTTTCGTGACCTCTTCTTATCACTCAATCGCAATAATAATTCGTTACAAAAGGTGCAAAAACTTCATTACCGAAAAAGCTATGTAACCGGTGAAGCGGAACAACTATTGCGCAATCTACCAATAACAAGTGACAATTATTCAGTGTGTTGCGATCTTTTGGAGAAAAGATTTAACAATAAGAAATATGTAATTATTTGTATCTTAAAAAAGTTTTTTAGCCAAAAAAATTGCTCATGAAAATTCAAGTGCTCTTAAAGAAATGTTTGATACTACTAATGAGTGTTTAAGTGCGTTAAAAATACTAGTGTAAAAACAGAAAATTGGGATATTAGTGTGATTTATCTTTTGTCCTCAAAATTAGATAGTGAATGTCGCAAGCAGTGGGAAGCAAAAATTTGTGACCTTACAAACGACTTGCCCACATTAAAGCAATTTTTATAGTTTTTAGAACACAGATACAGATCACTCGAATTTTTAAATCACAAAATGTACTCAATCCCATCACGTAGTCACAAAAAATAATGACAAGGTATCTGCTCCATGTTCCTATTGTTCTGATAGTGATCATAAGCTCGGAATATGTAAGAAGTTCGCAAATGAATCTCTATTAGCACGCCGTAAATTTTTCCAAGCCTCCAACTTGTGTTTTAATTGCTTAGGCGCCAAACATTCGGTCATAACGTGTCGTTTGCCCACCAGATGTAGAATTTGCAAAAAAAAAATGTGAGTTTCGCGTAAATAAGAAACACCATTCGCTATTGCATTCAAACACCACCAAGGTTCAATCGAACAATGTAAAGGTATAATCAATCGAATAGTAACAATGTTGTCGCGGAAACAGCGACAGCATCAGATGAAAATAATCAGACCAACATTACCACTTGTTTCTCTAACAACAAGAGTCAAGTCCTTTTAGCAACCGCTTTCCAAACAAAATAGACTTGCGGTTGGGTGCAGAGGTCTATTGCCAGATATTATTAGAAGGGATGCTTAAGGGTCCAATAGGTACCCCTGTAGCGCAAAACACTAGATTCGGCTGGATTTTTTCGAGCCAAGTATCTGATGGTCGTAAAACGGAATCAAGCTGTAGTAACTCCATAGCCACTTTACACACTCAAGTTATTGAAGAAGAATTTGATCTTAAACAATTTTGGGAAATCGAATCTGACCGATGTCTTCTCAACAAAACTCACCACACACCTGAGGAACAAAGATGTGAAGAATTCTATAATGAAACAACTACAAGAGACCCTTCAGGACGATATATGGTCAAATTACCATTTAAGGAGGAAAACTCGAGCTGCAAATCAGGGAATTCGCGGGAAATTGCAGTGAGCAGTTTCCTTATGCAAGAAAAGCGTAGTACGGTCACCACCGCTCAAAGATATCTATTCCAACGTTATTGATGGGTACCTGGAACTCGGTCACATGGAGAAGGTACCAAACGATTAAGTCAGCAAATCTGACAGTGTGTACTTACCTCATCGCGCCGTAATGTGACGAACAAAATGTGACGGCCCAATATTATTATTAATAATTAAATTCAATATAAAGGGGCGTCAAAAATAGTCTTAAAAGATATATAATAAACAATAAAATTACATTAATAACCATAAAGTTAATATAAATACATTTCAGACATTAGACCAATAACATAGTAAATTAAAGGCAAAATATTGTCTTCCATAATAAATAAATTTATTAAAAACTTGAAAAAATATTTAAAATAAGATAAATAATAGAAATACAAGTCGAAAATATTATAAAAATAAAGATAAATAACATTTATAAGATAATTAGAAAATTTGTTAAAAATTGTCTAAGTCTTGGAAGGAGTTCATGTATAAAATAAATTTCTTAAGTTGTGGAAGAAGTTCACGTATAAAAGGAAAGTTTCCTAAGTTATGGAAGGTGTTCATGTATAGATGTCTTGTATAGAGGAGCTGCCGGAGATACATACCTGCAATTGTACATATATATATGGGGTGGTCGGGAGCCCGACTGCCTGAAGTACTGTAGCACAATGACTAGTCCTATATTAGGGACTTATGATATTAAACTCAATTATACAAAAGCAATACTATAGAAGGTCTCCATGATGAATTTGCATTACAATAGTAGGGTCGTGGGTTCGAACCCTATATATTAATGACTTATGAAAGTAAGGTCTATGATACCAAAGCAATACTATAGAAGGTCTCTATAATTAATATGCATTACAATAGTAGGGTCGTGGGTTCGAATCCTATATATTAATGACTTATGAAAGTAAGGTCTACGATACAAAAGCAATACTATAGAAGTCTCTATGATTAATATGCATTACAATAGTAGGGTCGTGTGTTCGAATCCTATATATGAATGACTTATGAAAGTAAGGTCTAGATACAAAAGCAATACTATAGAGGTCTCCATATTTGCATTACAATAGTAGGGTTTCGAATCCTATATATGCATGACTTATGAAAGTAAGGTCTATGATACAAAAGCAATATTATAGGAGGTCTCCTTGATGCATAAGCATTGTATGGAGTGGTCGGGTGACCGACTGCTCCTAGTACTGTAGCAAAATGACTAGTCCTTATTAGGGACTTGAAAAGGAATATTATGGTGGCGTGTATGCTGCTTCACGAGCAATTGGTCCGAGGTAAACTTGGAGTCGCTAACCGATGTGTCCTAGACATATCATCTTAGTGCTGGTAGTAAGCGTGTTTGTTGTAGCAATACGGCTTTCCCGTGGACATCGCACACCCATACCGTTTGTGGGCGACGTCGTAGCGCATAGCGATGCGTCGTCTATCTTTCGGATTGGGGTGATGAGTGTGTTTGGTAGCACTTTTAAGTGTAACAGGCATACTCAACTTCATGTCTTAGTGCATTAGCGCTATGATACGTGGAGTTTTGTCCACTGGCGTCTTAGTAGCGTGATACTATGATACGTTGGTGCAGTTTTATATAACAACAATCTTAGTGCCGGTGGTAAGCGGGTTTGTTGTAGCAATACGGCTTTCCCGTGGACATCGCACACCCATACCGTTTGTGGGCGACGTCGTAGCGCATAGCGATGCGTCGTCTATTTTTCGGATTGGGATGATGAGTGTGTTTGGTAGCACTTTTAAGTGTAACAGGCATACTCAACTTCATGTCTTAGTGCATTAGCGCTATGATACATGGAGTTTTCTTCATTGGCGTCTTAGTAGCGTGCTACTATGATACGTTGGTGATATTTTTTATATAACAACAATAAAAACTTTGTTACCAAAATTGATAGGGGTCATGTGGGTGTGTTGTGAGGGTGCGCCATCCGTATGATAGTTGCATTGATGCTTACTGCTACTTGCGGTATTGCGTCTTGTGATGGATCTGCGGGTATGCTGCGCCTGATTCGACGCATTCTTGTGGTTCTGTTCGATGGAGGTATGCAGGTGGTGATGTCTGCTGGGATGTATGGGGGACCTAGGAATGGTGTAAGCCCGACGATAGTCGTATTGATGCTTGTTGCGTTCTGCAGCATTGCGTCTCTGCGATGGTTGTTTGGTGGGACGCTATTCTCAATGGCGCTCTCTGCGTCTTGGTTTGACTCAATTACTAGTTGGTTTGAACAACAACTAGCTTGGTTTGAATCTTTTATTTCATGTTTTATCTTACCTATTTACAGTCCACTTTCGTTGATCGTTGATTCATGGTGGACAGGAATAATGACCATTCTGGCCATGGTGGGCGGAATGTCTAGTTGTTAAATAAATATCCTAATTATTGTAGATTAAACTAATATCAAATCATTGTAAACAGATAGTTTTATAGTTTCCAACCACATTTAACACGGTATGCAGTACAATTATATCAGTTCTAAAAACTCTCTATAGATATCGCTATCCCTTTGAGAATCGTGCAATCATTTGGTTTGTCCGTATCCATAAGGTAAAAATGTTACTTCTTATATCTTTTTCGTCACATGAATGTTGGTGTTTTATTTAATACCAATATTTCATGTTTTCCATTGTGCGGTAAAAAGCGACGCCAAAGAAAAGTAATAAGGAAAAAACAAATGAATGACTGTTTACAAAACTAAAATGTATCAGCAAAATAAATTTATAAATTTTAAATTGGAATTCTTAACCAAAGAGGAGATATTTCAGATTATAGTAGTCAGTACGACAAAATGCTGATTTCATATGTAAGAACCTAATATTTCATTGCTATTTAATATAACTTATGTTTAATGTTTACTTCCTAATCCTTTAAAATATTTTTAGTTGCTTGTATTATGGGGAAATATGATTTTCTACTATCCCGGTATTTTCCTTACTTGCGTTAGTTTGTACTTAACGTCAATTATGGATCAATTCAATGCAAAAATTATTTCCACACAAGGAAAAGTAAGTATTTTTTGTAATGATTTTTTTTGAGCACAGTATAATTAAAAAAGGTAAATATATCGATTAACCAACAGAAAGTCGACAGATGTTAAATTAGAGTTGTTTTTAGTGACAGGGGATTATTTAAACTGTTATTTAAGTAATAAAATTATATATTATTCTTACAGATGACGAAACCTTCTTATTGGAAATCGATTCGTGAAGATTACGGTTGCATAACGAATATCATTCGTTCACTGGATGATCTTATGGGTTACTTAACTCTTTCAACTATTTTAAACAATATATTTTTTGTATGTTTTCAACTGTATTCTATTTTTTCGTAAGTATTTACAACTAAATCATACACATATTCACTTAGCCCATTAAATAGAATTTACAGACATTTTTATATACTTTTCATAAATATATATAAATAAGGTGTCACTAAAAATAAAATATAAAAATATATTTATGAAAAGATTCTATGTTGTAAGAATAACCAAAAATAGAACCTATGATATATAATATTATAATCAGAACAAACTTTATGATATAATTTATTTAATGAAAAATGATTGGTACCAAAACCAAATAAATTTAGCCAACTAGAAAAATTAAAATATCGAATTAAGAACGTGCTCCCCACGTTCTTAATTCGATATTTTAATTCCGCTAAGTGACTTTAGCGGTCAGCCGCCCTAGAGTCTATATTACCTGAGGATGCCTCGTGTAGAGGCGAAACACGTGTCGTATTATCGTCGATGGTGTGTCTTGCCTGGAATAGTGGTGTTGAGAGTAGTGGTGCTTGGTCTAGTGGTGACGGAGTTAGTGTATGCAATTGAGGGAGGGCGGGAGGTGCGCTTCAATCCAGGTAAGACACATCATTTTATATGTTTAGCGGAAAGTTGCAAAGAAATTTATATTTTTATTTTTTATTATAATGGATTTCCGCAAAGTAACGCCTGATTCTATCAATTATCTTAAATAATAGTCAGTTATTTGGTGTTCCAAACTCTCACCTAATCAGGCTGATTCTATATCTTACTCTCAAAACTACACACTCTTAATATTTTTCATTTATAATTATGTATTCCATTACTCATCCATGAATTTACTTACGTATGTTACAAATTTATATCATAATATAATCTCGCATAATATTTAATGTACTGAAATTAAGAACGTAAAAATGTAATCTATTATATTATTATCTTTTTAATTTTTCGGCTGTACATAGTAATAAAAATAATATAAAACTGAATAAATGTGAATATAAAATCGTCTTATGCCTTAATACAAATGCCACGTATGTGCTTAAAACTGTCTTAATACAAATGCTATATATGTGCGTGCAACGTAATGTGAATATAAAATCGTCTTGTGCCTTAATACAAATGCCACGTATGTGCTTAAAACTGTCTTAATACAAATGCTATATATGTGCGTGCAACGTAATTTTAATATTGTATTATAACTGCATTTTTTGAAATAGTGATAAATATATTGAATAATCAATTGTATCGTGAATTATCTGATAAATAATTTCAACGTAATCATATTTTAAATACAGAATATTTAATACATAACTTTTTTGTTACTAAATAGCAAGAACAACATTAAAAAAAATCTTAAATTATCAAAGTTTTAAACCGATTTAAAAATCATACAGGTGCGAAGTTACCTCTTAATTTCTTCTTTGTTGTTTTCGGCTCAATTTTCACATTTTTCAAGGCGATGCTTACTAGAATACAACTGCTTCTTTCCCTTTTCAATTAATCTTGTAGTTTTAAATGTTCAGTCAGCTTCTCAAAAATATTTATGTGGCCTCTTCTGGTAAAGTATAGTAAAGTTACAGCCTATATACGTCCCACTGATGGGCACAGGCCTCCCTCATTTCTGAGAGGGTTTTAGGGCAGGGAAGTGTCTGCCGCGCCGCCCCAACGCGTGTTGGCGAACTTGACGAACTCACATGTCTTCGAAATATTTTTTTTTCTTATTCCTCATACATACAGGTTTCCTCACGATGTTTTTCTTCGCCGCCGAGCTCGTGGTGAATCAGCACTTAAAGTTGCAATTAAGAATTTCATCGGTGCCGGCGGGGATCAAATCCGGGTTACTCGCGTTCTGTTATATTTACGAGCGTTAACCATCTTAGCTACCACGGCTCTGCGGCCTCTTCTGGTATTCATATTTATTTACTATCGTCACATCCGGTATCGCATCCATTCCGTTATAATATTTTTGTCAATCGTTTCTTTTTGTCATTACCTTCATTATTTAATTTAGTAATAGTTTACTTCCCAATTTTTAATTAGGCTCGGCAGTGCGCGTATATTGTCGCAGCGCACCGCCTGGCGGGGTCGCCATGAAATGTTCCAAGGTGTTAAATGAAAAGGAGACGTGTTTCTCATGCTATGACTTTAATTATACAAACAAACCCTTTTTCTTCTCCCCTTTTTTTTTTTTTTTTTTTTTTTTTATTTTCAAACCTTCTTTACTTTCTTTTTTTTCATTTTTTTTACTATTATATAACTATGCTTCAACGCCATACAAAAGAGTGGAGAAAACATAACAGCGTGCTAATCGTACTCGTATCTGGGTGTTCAGCTTTTTATTGCACAGAAGTGACTTAAGCTTAAAGAAAGCATTACGGGCTTGTTCTATGCGGCACCTTATTTCAAGACTGTGGTCTCCCGTATCATCAACCCGGCATCCCAAATATTTGTATTTGCTAACTTTTTGAAGAGGCTGTCCATTACATAGTAGAGAAGGGTTAGCAGGTGGTGTTTTACAAACTGTCATATATTTGGTTTTCCTGTTGTTGTTACTGAGGCCATACGCTGAACTAACAGCTTGAATTTTATCTATAAGGATCTGAAGTTCTTCCATTGTAGATGCAATAAGTACAATGTCATCGGCATAATAATTTATTGGTAACTCGTAACTCAACTAGTACAACCGAGTTGATTCCAGACAATTCAACATAATTGGTTCCTTGTCAGACCCTAAAAATGAGACAAAATTGTCTCAGTTGTGCTCTCGATTAATTAAAGTTCTATCAATTGGAGCTTTGCAGAGCTTCTAAGTGCAGCAAGACGTTATGGATTAGTGAAAAAATTACTTAACATTTTTCAATCTAACTCTTTTAGCTGAAAAGTAAAATTTGAAAGGTGTGTATGATCTTAATAACTTTTCCTTCCTAGATGATTCATTTTTATTTTTCAGAGAACCTTATCAACGTAACATCTACACCGTATGTTCAACACTTTTAATGTTACTACAATTATTGACTCTGGTATTTTTCACCTCTGAAGTTAACACAACCTCTCGAGCCGCTACAGCTTTTCTATACAAAGTGACTTCAACAGATTTTTGCACCGAGGTAGGTAAGATTGTTCGTCCCTTAAAATATTATTTGTCTTTGGCCGTATGGAGGTAGCGTAAAAGATGTTAGATTCTCTTTCCCATTTTTTCTCGTAGGTGTCGTAAATGTCGCAGTGTTCCACAACACAACACAATATTATAAGGCCTGCTTATGCCATCATTATTCACCCAAACTATCATTAATCATTATTATGATCATTAAAGCCATATCATATATATTTTATCGTAGGGGAGCAATCACATTTCTTTATTATACGTTGATTTGTTATCAGAAAGCTGCTGCTACTATAGGTTATGGGGCAATATTAATAATAATCATGTCCTCCAGACCGAATTTAGGTCACGGCGGCTGCCTCAACAGAGTCTACCCATCGGCGCAGGATAAGATTATAGTGCCCAAGTATATACCGCAAGCACAGGTGCACTCTCTTTTCCCTCATTATCATAATCAGATGGGACGGTAAGCTGACACGACCGGAGATAGATCAGGCGCAGAACCAACGGTTTTTACGTGATTTCCGAGGCACAGGGGTGAGTCACCGCCTACTTCCTGACTCCGAGCAGCTACTGAAAATTTCTTAAAAACACAATAATAAATTTATTGAGCCGACTCAGGGAACCCATAACCTCATGATCTGCAGTCGTACTACTACAACTACTAGACCATCGAGGCAGATATCGGAAAGTGGAAACTACAACATCACAACTTCATGGCAAATCACCATAATTGGCGTTCCATAAATATTATATATACGATAAATTGCTTGGAGATTGTTTTATAAATAAATTTTTTTTAATTTTAGGTACAAAGACTTATAGATCAATCGCACAACGATGAAGTTGCTCTCAGTGGACTCAAATTTTTTTACGTTACCCGAGAATTTGCTCTTTCTGTAAGTATATTGTAACAATAAAATAATATATATTATAAAGTTTATTGGTTTGACATTTTTCTACTGCAAAGTAAAAGGTCGGGGAAAAAGATGCTTCGTATTTTATGTACATATTCAAGACATTTTTTTATTCATTTAATTGCATATAATTATAATATCGATTGACAATTTGTTACCATCTTGTAGGTAGTAACATAATCCTGTTGGTGTAGAAATCTTGGGATTTTCATCAAAAAAATGCGACAAGTAGTTTTAACAGACCTCTCTACACTACCCGAAGAATTCTGAAGAGACCGAAACAGGTAAAAATTGAGGGTGCAAAGTCAGGACTATATATATGGTGGATGCCTTAAGATTTCCCAACCCAGATCTCTCAATTTTTGCTGAGTGGCAAAAAATATGTGTGGTCTGGTGTTACCGTGATGAAAGACCACTATTTTTCTGTTGATTCATTCCGGTCCTTTTTTTCTCGATTTCTTGCCTGAGTCTGATTATTTATTGGCAATAGATATCCGAATCGATAGTTTTGCCCGGCGGTAAAAACTAATATTAAACGATGCCCCTCCAATCCCACCGTACATACAACCTTCTACAGTCCTTGGTAATGGACCTTGACTACCCTTCGACCACGATTTTTTTTCGCTGTTTCATTACGTACATACACGATTCCTTAAGTTTCTTTCAGTTATCTCGTGTGGTATACAAATATCAAGTTTTTTTTGTATAGCGAGACTTTTTCAAATGGGTTAAAACTGTTTTGTGGTTCTTGAAACTGAACTGAACTCTTGTTTCTGAAACTGTCTTCAATTTTTCGACTACGTTCTACAAGTATGTTAATCTTGCTCCACTTTTTTAAAAATGGCAGCAACTTTATCCGTATGAATGGGCGACCAGAGCGAGCTGCATCTTTGACATCAAAATTCCCGAATTGAAAAGGCATGAACCAACTTTGCGCTACTCTTACTGATACTGCATTAGATCCATAAATAACACAATTTTTTGGTGGCTTGATCATTTTTCCCTTTTTTGTAATAAAACATGAGAATGTATCGAATGTCTTGGTTAGGTTCACTCATTGTGGCGGACAAAAAATAAATAAAAATTGGCAAGAAAGCGTTTTTAACTTTTTATATTTATTTCTGCTGATGTTTTTTACGTATTAATATACGCTTAATTAAATCAGTATAACTAAAGATATTTTTCTTCAGTTTCATACATACAAAATATAAATAAATTTTTTCCCCGACCTACAAAAATCAACGTCCTATATAATGCTAGAATTACACTCCAATAAACGGATGATATCATTATCTTAGACCATTCAACCCAACATTATTTATGGCGCATATTATCAATATATGGGAAATTAAAAGAAACACTGATTTTATGTATAAGCTTTTTAGGGATAATTCTTACGAACTGTAATCATGACTATAATACACTTAGTTTGTCACTCACGCACACACGCATGTACGTAAATATGCTTTTTGCAATTAATATAAAAAGTCAATATTGCAAAATTAATTAATGTCCCGCAACATAACGCAATATTATTCTATAGTCTCAATGTTACTTCATTTTCATGTTCTCAATTGCTGGGTGATACAGTTGAAGTAACATTGCCGGAATAAACTTAACAAACTGTTGCACACTGACGTTGCAGCAAAAATATCGATGATTATCAAAAGAAAATACTAAAAGATGTACTTGTATGTCAATACTGATATATGTTCAACTCTTATAAGGATATATGTACTACAAAGAAAGGTCATCATACAGTCCCTCATAATTACATCCACTGCTGATATATATGACTGGGCCATTACCACGCAACTACTGATTTTTTGGGTTATGTCGGTTACTTTAGACTCTAGTTCTACTGCGGATATCTCCATTATGTGCTTTATCGAAGACAGAAACATAGAAGCATTAATCAATTTGCATTGTAATTTAAAAAAAATTACAGGTAGTCGGCACAATCATCACATACGAGTTGGTACTTCTCCAATTACATACTGATTTTAGTTAATTATTGTAAAGCACACAAAAGCAACACAACAAGTAAGCAAAATTTACAATTACACGTTTAAACAAGAATATTGTTGGATTCTGATGTGATGATTATTTCATTTATTTATTTTCTAAACATTAAAGTGCTGTAGTGTTGGATATAGTTTTTTATCAAAATTGTCCTGTGAAAGTTAAAAAGTTCAAGATAAGAAGTTAAGACAAAGGAGGCGCAATTAATGTTGCTTTATGTTTTGAACTTAAAGTAAATTTTTATATATCTATTTTTATCTATTTTAAGTACATATTATAAGTTATATATATATAATATATATATATATATATATATATATATATATTAATTTTTTTAACTGTGTTATTTTTTGAAAAAAAAATATTTCTATATGTTTGGATACTGATTCTAATAACGCAGTTAACGGGAACCACAGAGTTTTTGTTACATGTTGTATATATATATATATATATATATATATATATATATATATATATATATATATATATATATATATATATATATATATAAAATTCCCTATTTTTCGACCGACTTCAGGAGGAGGTTCTCAATTCGACTATATTTTTAATTGTGTTACCTGAAAACTTTTTTCTTGATGAACCGATTTGTTTGATTATTTTATTTGAAAACTGGCACTCCTCATGTAGTCCCATATAATTATGATCAATATCTGACCAGTGGTTTTTAAATTATCCCTAATAATGCGTATTTAATTAATTTCGACTATAGTGAAGATATTCTCATTTTATTAACATTGGAAGTCGATTGCACAAAATTTTTATTTTTACCACTTGTTACAAAAACATAAACTAAAATGTCTATTGGTACCACAAAAGAAATATTTGTAGGAAATTAATTTGTAGCACAGTTTTGTATTAAATCAAAGTGAGTGATTGATAATGTGTCTAACTTATTGCCATTGTGATTAAATGTATTAACTATACGTTTTATTCTAGTATTATAATAATATTTTGTATGGTTATTTCCATTATATGAACTGATAAATTCAGTCGTTGAACTTCTTATCGGTATTTCATTTAAATATATTTTATCCTTTTTATGAGTTGAACTATTGAGTAAAATAGTAGAAATCACACCTTCCGTTTATTAACGGTTTATTAATATATAATAACTATTTAATTTAACCTTAATAAATGGTTGGGTTGCCCAATGCCAAACTTCTTCATAGAAAAGTAGTCTCTAAAAATAAGTTTTAAAGGATTAAAGTAAAGTAGTGAGTGTGCACGGTCGAATCCGACCGCTTGGGAGTTTGACGGAATAGAGCCGCGGTCGAGTTTGACCACTTAGGGATTGAGGGGTTAAAATACTCCTTTGTTATGTTAAATAAAAAATCTTGAGGAAAGTTGCCTAAGAAATCTTAATCCAAGAACAAGTGACAACATTGCGATATGAAGCATTGTTGTGCCGTAGACACAACAATGCTTGACAAAATTCTTCTTAATTTGTCTAGAAATCTAAGGTTGACATTGATTGGCAGCTCTAATCGCACCAGTGATCATGTGGACACTAACGACAAACGTGCGAGAAAGCAGACGTCTAGATATTTTTTTCTGTGACAACTTAACGTATCGAGTAGGTACTTCATTTGCTTTTGCTTTTGGTCCCAAGGCTTTTTTCAATTTAGTTTATTTAACGATCAACGTTTAAAAAATAATTTTATTATACAGTTGTAGTTGTAGCAAAAATAGGTCAGTACGATCGGGGCAGGACCAAGCTCTCATAGGATACTAATACTAGAATACTACTCTATAACGTTGCTGTGTTTCGTATGGTGAGTGTAGAGACCGGAGACCCTTTTACTTGAATCGAGGCATTCCATCTTAACCCTCAGGGATGACAACGCATTTTCATTTTGATTCCCAATTGAGGACAAATGTGGACGTCTATGGACCAAAGCATCCACTAACCAACAGGTGGACTGTGTGCTCATTTGTCACCCAGTAATATAAAATGGCTTATTAAAAAACTGAATTAAAAAACAAACTTACAATCCACCAGTTGGTAAGTGCCTACTGTAGCCAGTGGATATCTGCTATCACCTTCAAACAAAGAAGGTGATAGATGCGACAGTCTGAGTTCTAATGTGGAATGCCTATGAATAATTATATTGCCTTTATATAATCTTCGAACCGGAACACAGCAGTTTAGGTACTACATCAACACAAATACTGTGAACGTGGCCCTCCTCAGTACAACTATATGTCAACCTGGCCATGGTTTGAATGGTATTTTGGTGTTAAAAGACAAGGCTTAACTGTTGTTGGAGGCAATGAAGCTGAATCACAACCGGAGTAACACAGTTGTTACTAGTTTAGGTGAAAGTAGTGTGACGGACCATTATTATTACCAGTAATTAACTTCTATATAAGGAGGTGTCAAAAATAATGTTAAAGGATATACATATATTAAACAATAAAAATACATAAATAAGCATAAAGTTAAAATAAACGCATTTCAGACATTAAGTATGTCAAGTAAGCAAATTAAAGGCTAAATAAATTTATTAAAAAGCTTGTAAAAATATTCAAAGTGTGATAAATAATAGAAATAAAAGTCGAAAATATTATAAAATTAAAGATAAATAACTTTTATAAAATAATTAGAAAATTGGTTAAAATTGTTTAAATTGATTTATGGAGCGAGTTCGTGTATAAAAAAAAATCCCAATATATGGAACGTGTTCTTGCAGAAGAAAATTCTTAAGTTATGGAGGGTATTCGTGTATAGATGGCTTGTATGGAGGAGCTGCCGGAGACGCATACCCAAAGTCGTACATATATAATTGGGTCCTTACATATGAAATTAGCGTTTTGTCGTACTGACCATTTTATCCGAAATATCTCCTCTTTGGCTTAGAATTCCAAACTCAAATTTATAAATTCATTCAGATAGTACATTTTAGTTTTGAAAACAGTCATTCATTTGTTTTTTCTTCATTATTTTTTTCTTTTTC